CAACGAAGCAAAAATGAGGCGAAACGGAGTTACGACGAGGGAGATACAAGTATTTAAACATATGTGCTTGAATCTGAGAATTTTGCTCAGATTCCGTTAGTTCAATCAAATGGATGTAGACGGAGGGTTCACATTGAAACACAGAAGAAACTCCATGGTTTAATTTGTCAAAATATACACTATAGGGTTTAATTTAAAAAACACGTGAAACCTTGGATTTTATTTTTATTTTTTTTTTGTAATTTCCCATAAAAATATAAGATTTCATTTGTTCAAATTAAAATTAAATTCGACTGCGACAAACTTGTGCTTGCCCAACTGGACTTCCCAAAGTCATGTTGTCGATAGAAACAAGGCCAAACAATCTGGAAGATGTGAGATAAGAATTACCGAAAAGAGTGGAGTTTTGGAGGCTCTCTGTGACAGAAGAATAAGGTTGTAATCGAAATGAATGCTACGACAGGATGAGAGATAAATCTTACTTTTTGATTTTTAGTTTTACCATTGCGGCTCCATTTACTTTAACCCAACTTGGGAACACGTTATTTTAGTTGATTTTTCTATTTTTTGACTATTTTAATCTGAATAAAAAAATTGTGTTTGTGATGATAGTTGATATTTTTTTTAGTAGTTGATTTGATGATTGTGAGTGAAAAAGTAAAATTATTATGGTTTGGATGTGATGTTTTGTCTTATTGACTATTTAAGTCTATTATATCTTTATTGACTATTTTAACCTAAACAAACTTCCCAAACAAGGCCTTCGTATTTTTTTTTTGTCTCATTATTGTTTGTGGTAAAAGAAAGAGTTGGGATTTATTAAGGATGAAAATCTCAATTTTTTGATTCATTAGCGGATTAACTTGGACTTCTTTTGGTGATCTAAACTTTTTATTTTATAAACTAATTAAAAAAATTATTCATGTAAAAAATTAAGTAGATCAATATTGATTGTCACACTATTAGATCATTTTTATTTATATAGTCTATATGTTTTTTAAGAATAAATTATCCATTTATTATAATATATTGAATTTGATCATGTGATTATTTATGTTTGATTAATTCATTTTTTGCATACATACTTATCATATTAGATAAACAATTTAGATCATTGACGTTGGTACAAATTAGTTTGACAATAGGCCAATTGCACCTATGAAGTTGAGATATTAAAATTTGGTAAACCCATACTCCAAAAAAAAAAAAAAAAATTGGTGTTTTTGATCGCTTCATATAAGGAATTAGTTTGAAAATAAGAAGGGTAATTTTGATATTTTAATTCAAAATATGATGTCACATTTCATCTTATTTACTAATGGTAGGCTAGCTACAACAAGTATTGTTTTAAAAATCAGATGTTATGTAACGATGGGTTCGTAATGACTTTTGACACATTCGAGTCATATACAACCTAATCTTGTGGTGAGATCAAATTTGGTGAGTGTATTGGCTTGTTTCTATTATGTATGAAAAAGTAACCTTTATGGTGAATTGCTACATCCGTCTACATCTTGTAATGATTTTTAAAATTTCACGATCATGACATCGATTTTGATACATATCGACTAATACTCCCAAAATTGATATTTCACAATTGATTACGTATTCTGATTTCACGATTTAGAACCATGATTACAAAAGAAAACTATTGAATGGTTCAAAAATATCATATGACGTAACTTACATGCTACTCTCAGCAAATAAGAAATTGGAATCCATAGTAAGTGAGTAATTCATTGTCTCTCAACTATTTAACAAAAATAGTAGTTATGTCGTGTAAAATTTTCAGTTAGGTAATTAGTTTGAAGACCATATAAGCAATGACACATGGTGAGTGGTGTTCCGAGACTATTGAATAAATATCCAACTTTAGTGTATAAAAACATATACAGAGATTGGTATAATTGTAATATTCCAACAACTTGGGGCTATTTATGGTGTGTACGTTTATTGGGGGAGGTCATTGTAATTTTCCATTTTAATTTTTTCTTCTCCCAATCCAACCCCCAAAAGTCTCTTTTGCAATTTTTCAGAACTTCCTTGATGGAAATTCTAAGTAAATTAATTAATCAAAAATGGGATCCATTGTCTGCATTGCTGTTGATATCCTTACTCTCTCTCTACCCTTCGCTACCGCCACCGTCACCACCGCCGCCGCCAGTAGTGGAGAAGAAGGGTGTTGCAGAGCTCAAAAGAATCTACAAACATAAAATGTAGTATTCCCCTTTGTGCTCACTTTGTCAGTGCCTACAACCACCCTCCCACCCACTTAAAGAAACTGAAAAATCTAGAAATCCCCTAGAAGTTAATTTGTGATTATGTATCAATTTTAAGCAGTATATAACAATCCCAATCAAATAATCCAGACAAATCGACACAACGATTTTACGTGGAAAAACCACAATTGGACACCTCCAATTGTGATAAAAAACCACGGGCAACTGCCACAAAACAATCCACTAAGAAGATATAAAGGAATTACACAGGTATACTTTCAATTACCTAGCGAATCCACGCCCGAATTGAACCAACCTCTATTTGCCTCTTCCAACCCCATCTTCACCTCGGAATTGTCTTGACGATGATCCACTCCAGAATCCACCAAAGCTTCAGGCTTGAATTCTTCAGAATCCACCGAAGAACAACTCTCTCTTTTGTGTAGAACAAACAAATAACCCTTTGATGTATACTCTTTAAACCATGAGTTGAATACTCAATCAAAACATCAAAGAAAACTAGCAAAATATCCCCAGACATAAACCCTAGAACCCAAGAAGAAGATCTGGAGAAGTTATCCTAGATTTGGACTGAAACACGTATTTATAGAAAACTGTCCCGCGATCTCTGCTCGAGCGTCAGATTGGCCACTCGAGCGGACCTACGCTCGAGCGTGGAAAGTTCCGCTCGAGCGGTAAAAAACATATCGCAGTATTTTTGCAGGCGATCAAACTTCTGGAACCAAGGATTCTCCGCTTGAGCGGGGGAATGTCCGCTCGAGCGGACAAGCAACTTCGAAGGCAATTTTCCATTTTGCTTCGGGGGCGCTGCCCCTCAACCCCGCTGTGGCGCTGCCCCTTAACCCCGTCATAATCAGCGAAGTGGCAATCTTGAAAGTATTAACATCACAAGCTTCTCTGCAAGGCACAATTCGGGTTGGATTCACATCTAAGACTCATATCGTTACTGAAATAGAAGAGCGAATAAAATTACAACTGAAAGGAGTTTTGTTCAAACGGGATTGCCAAGAATAAAAACCTAACAGAAACTATCTTTTATCCCCCTATACTATAGACAAATGTGGATGGACTGTTTCTATTGGACTATATGAATTGAAATTAAAAATAATAATAATAAATTTGAGACAACTGATTGTGGTAGATTTATAGTGCTTGGAATCTAACTTTTGTTGTGTTCTTTATAAAAATATATTGTTAATTTATTGTCTTGTATTAAGGATGAGGAACGATGAAGTGAATTCAATTGATCTTCCTGAACTTTATAATTGCGCCTCGAGCATGGTCATTGCTATAGTAACTGAATTGCGAATAGTACTGTACTTCAAAACTCAGAACAACTTCATTTTTCAATATAAATTGAATGAAACTTTATAATATACGAACTATGAACCTCAAACATTCCATATTGAGAAGGATTTTATTTTATGTCTTGCAATTGTTTGGGAATTGCAATCAGAAGATGATGGAGTTCTTGCAGAGTTCAGTGGGAATTATTCACAGAAACCATGCTGAGAGAGTATTGCTACTTTTGTCAAAGAGATTGTGGATGAAGAGTTAAAAGGACAATTCCAATTCTGATGTGCAGTCAATGGCTAAGAAAAGTCTCATTTTATGTGTTGAAGGAAACATTAGCGTTGTCAAGACAACTTTCCTGAACCTATTAACAAGCGACAGGATGTTGGATCTGATCACTTCAGTATCTTAGATGCTTTTTATGTTGAGCCACAAAGGTATGCATATATACCTTCCAAAGCTATGTCTGTTTGTTACTAGAGTCAGACGGAGTCATCTGGTGGAATTATGCCCCTCAAGTCAATAATCTTTTATTTCTTTATGTAACGTGTCTCTTCTAACATATGTATTTTTTAATTTTGATTCTTTGTAGTATATGACAAGGCATATTTGGCTAAATTGAGATCTCCAAAAACACCCATATCAAGATTCTATTTTGACATATTTTCTTTCGTTTCCACAGCAATACAGCTTGTATTACCTGTTAACTTAGTTGTCACACGTATATATAGCCTAGTGGGACACCTAGTGCTAGTGTTAGTAGTGCATGAGTCTATATTACACAAAGTTACCAAGACAAAAAGGCAAATTATAATAATATCAAATTGAAAAATCTAGAAATCCCCTAGATATTGATTTGTAATTATGTATCAATTTTAAGCAGTAAATAACAATCTCAATCAAATAATCAAGACAAATTGACACAATGATTTTAACGTAGAAATACCATAATTGGAGCACCTCCAATTGTGATAAAAAAAAACCTTGGGCAAAAGCCACAAAACAATCCACTAAGAAGACACAAAGGAATTACACAAATGTACTCTCAATTATCTAGCGAATCCACGCCCAAATCGAATCAACCTCTATGTGCCTCTTCCAGCCCCCCCCTCAAAAAAAAAAAAAAAAACTTTAATCTATTTACTCATATTTGCTACATAAATTGATTAGAATAAAAAAAGAAAATGAAATTGAGATGCTTCAATAGAGAGAACGATGTATTTTGGTAGAGTAATGTTATATATACACGAATTTCTCATCCGATTTTCTTACCACTTGTCACAAATTTGGTGAGGGCCATATTAATAAATATAGGCAGAATTCATGCCTCTGTGTATAGTGCTAAGAAATTCGAATAAAAAAATTTGTTTTGGGTATAGCATTTTCTATTTTAGTATGCATATGCATAGGTCAAGAGGGTATGCTACACACCTTTGGGTTTCATGTTGCAAAACCTCTTCCAACTTCTTAGTCTTGGTTCAACCCTTCATTCATGTAAGTATTTTTTATCTTATGCAATTCACTAATAACACTCCCCATTTCCATTCGATCTCTTGGCGATTCCATTGAACATGCAACCCCAATTTGTAGAATCGAAACCATGCAGTCTTTAATCCACCTTCTTGTGTTATGCTCCAATAGGATGCAAGGATTCACAGTCTCCATGACTCGATCAGGCAATGCATTCTTAACGAAGTTATGAAGATTTAGATGATCCTTAAACATATTGTCAATTGGTTTCTTACCTGTAAACATCTCCAGTAAAAGAATCCCAAAGCTGTATACATTCCCTAGTGTGGAAGCCATGTCCCCCATGCCATACTCTGCAAATTGTTTCCAATGTTAGTCTGAAAAATGAGTCTAGTTAGTTCGCATAGTTGTAATCTCAATAGATGTATTTAATAATTTTTTTAATGAAACTCAACAAACTTTTTAATGCAATGATGTCCTTAATTTTTTCCCCCTCTCAGTTATAATATTTTTGTTTGTGTTTACAACTGACTAAGTGAGACAATGGTTGAGAATGACATAGTTTGATTGTATTTTTCTATTGAAGGAAACAAAAATTAGTCTTGCATGAGATATTCCGTCAGAATTAACTATACAAGTTTCCAAGCAATGAGTAAGTTTTTAAAAAATGCTTTGGTAGCAAACTAGTATATTAATTCTTTCCACCAGTAGATACCACGGACTATTTTGATCAGACTAAAATTACATAAAGAATATTTATAAGAAAAAAAATAGAAAAATAATATAGGCGGCATAGTGGATTAACACAAGTTTTCCATAGCCAAGTTTAAGAATGTTTACATCAAATGATGTACACTTCAATGGTAATATTTATACTAAGATTAAGGACAACCACATTAAACAAAAGTAAACTTAGTACTTGGTTTGCTAACAATGAGGAGGTGGAAACACACATTGCAAGCATTCATAAATGGCATGAAATCTGCATAAAAATAATGATTAAAACTATGTAGATGCCCACTATTTTGTAGAAGCCATGGTTTGTATGTTTATGCCAAAATGTGTTCATGTGTGTGTATATATATATTATATTTTTCCTATTGCAAGTTCAGTTTTTCTACTCCAAGGAAATTGAAAAGATTTTCTATCTGGAGCAACATAGCCTATGGTTCCCCTTATTGCAACTAAATTGCTTTGACCTTGTGCCACATCGCTTGAAACGGTAGAAATAATTTTTGCCAACCCAAAATCTCCAATATGGTTCGTCATCTCATCATCCAAAAGAACATTACTTGGCTTTAGATCAGCATGAATAATTGTCGACTCACAACCACAATGAAGATACTCAAGGGCAGAGGCAATATCCATGGAAATGTCCAGCTTCTGGATTAGTGTAAGATTTCTAGGTTCCTCTAGCTGCTCATGGTCTCCAACTTCATCTTGATGCAACCAATTGCCCAAGTTTCCATTGGCCATAAATTCATATACCAAAGCTTTGAATTCATTACCATGGAAATCCACACTGGAACAAACGCTCAAAGTTTTCAATAGATTTCGGTGCCTTATCGCTCTTAGTGCCTTGCATTCTGACATGAAGCTCTTAAAAGCTCCTTTGGTCTGAAGATTGAGCACTTTCACTGCCGCAACCATCTGAACTTGATCAAGAATCCCTTTGTAAACTGAAGCATAGCTCCCAACACCAATTAGATTAGCCTTTGAGAATCCATTAGTGGCTTTGAGAAGCTCTGCATAAGAAACCCTAAAAAAATTGATGTTTGATTGATGGCGTGCTAGAGGTCTTCTTTTTTGAAAGATGACATCGTTGAAGAAATATAAAGAAGCTAACAAACAAAGATAAAAATATCACAAGACCAACCACTAGTAGGATCACTTTCATCCTGTGAGATAGCTTCTTGTTGCTTGATTTGGAGGATGGACAAGAAGGAAGGTCTAATTTTGCAATACCTCCACATAGCTCATTATTTCCAACAATTGAAATTGCACTCCCATTTTGAAACACTCCTTGTATTGGAACTTCTCCATATAGCCTATTAAAAGATAAATTCAACATATCTAGTTGAAACTTGCCTAGATAACTTGGGATCTTCCCTGACAAATTGTTTTGCGAAAGATCCAACACTCTTAAGCCCCTCAACATTCTCAAACTTTGAGGTATCTCTCCATGTAATGAATTGGCCTCCAAGTAAAGCCATTGCAGACTCAAACAGTTGCTTAGGCCTCGTTTGGGAACCAGCCCGTTTAGCCAAAAAGCCAAAAAGTTACTAAAAAATCAGAAAGCCAACAACCGGTCTAATTTTGCAATACCTCCACATAGCTCATTATTTCCAACAATTGAAATTGCACTCCCATTTTGAAACACTCCTTGTATTGGAACTTCTCCATATAGCCTATTAAAAGATAAATTCAACATATCTAGTTGAAGCTCGCCTAGATAACTTGGGATTTTCCCTGACAAATTGTTTTGCGAAAGATCCAACACTCTTAAGCCCCTCAACATTCTCAAACTTTGAGGTATCTCTCCATGTAATGAATTGGCCTCCAAGTAAAGCCATTGCAGACTCAAACAGTTGCTTTAGAGTGTTTGGAATGGATCCAGATAATTTATTATAGGATACATCCATGTATCCAAGATTTTTCAAAGACCCAACTTCTGATGGAAGAGAACCGGTTAGTGCATTGCGATCTAACAAGAGGGATTTTAAAATGAAGGAGAGAATCATAATTTCAGGGGGGTATTGAACCATTGAGATTATTTTGAGAAAGGTTTAATTCCAACAGGCTATGACAATTACCCAAACTTGGAGGTATACTTCTGGGGACGTTGTTTTCTCCCAAGTTGAGAGTAATCAATGAAGTCAAATTACCAAGCGAAGATGAAAGTTCTGTGAATTTGTTCTGGTCTAATAACAGAGTTTGCAGATTTTAAAGTCTGCCAATGGAGGATGGAATAGGGCCAGCAAGATTATTCACTGCCATAGATAAGTCAGTGAGGTTGTATAGCGACCCTGGTCTTTTCCCATTTGATTATTGTATCCGGACTTAGGTTCCGTAGATTCTGTCATTGAATATTTGTTGTTGTTGTCCTTTATTTTCTCATTTGGAATTATAGGATGTGTTGGGCAGGTTTGTTTCAGGTTGGTTGGGTTTAGAAACCAAGTGTTGCTGTCCAGGATTTTGGTTCTTCGCTCGAGCGAGGAGTTGGTCGCTCGAGCGAGAGATGGCGTCCAGTATTGACCTGTAGCTCTGCATTCTTGGCTCGAGCGAGATTTTCTTCGCTCGAGCGAGTTAGTTTGTTCTTCGCTCGAGCGATGGTTCTTTGTTGTTGTTTCAGCTACTGATACAATTTTATAATTAAAAGGATTTAAATGCACAATTTTAAAATTAAAAGGATTTAAATACACAATTTTAAAATTAAAAAAGTAAAATAATAATCAATAATAATTGAGAGATTATTCATATGATTAACCTTTAAAAGTTGAAACAAATATGTAGTCATGGCATTTAACATCATGAATTCACTTCCACTTTTGAGCTTTTTATGGCTAAGATAAGATTAAATGTTCTCAATCAAAATAGACTTTATCAAAGTCAGTCATAGAATCACTTACATGAGATTTTTCCAACAAAGTAAGAGGCATCATTAGAGAATTGACAGTGTAGAAGTGTGTAATGCTTGGTTAGTGTAGAAGTGTGTACTCGTATGATTCCTTGAGATTACACACATGCCTACTTAAGGATTGCTAGTCTTTAGATTTTCAACATAAATGTGTTTTGAAATCTAAATGGTGTTTTTGTTTTGATGTAATGGCTGTTGGTTTTTGGAGCAGATTCCTTGTCATCAGGTAAGAGTTTGTTTTTGCTAGTCAATAAAATTCTTCATTGCCGATCAAAAAAAAAGTTGTGTTTTAAATCTAATCATTGTTTAAGTGTTGACTCCCATAAGGGCTCAATCAACAATCCATCTATATCTTTATATGAGGCTTATTAGTAAGTTTAGTGTTAAACACTATCCGATGAAGAACTTCCTTTATTGATAATAATTGCTCCTAGATAGTGCTACT